CCCCCGCGCGGTTCCGTGTTGCCGGGGCCTGTCCCGTCCCGGGCCTGCGAGCTGCCCTCGTCCTCGCCCCGCCTCGGAGCCGCGTGCGTCCCGGAGCCCGGCGCCGGGAACGCGGCGTTGGAGGACGCGGCTTCGCCCCTCTCCTCCTCCTCCTCCTCTTGCCGGCCTCTCCTCCAACTTGTGTGGCGTGTCTGCGGGTGCTGCCCGCGCTGTTTGTCTAACGCGGAGGTGCCCGGGCCTGTTCCGCGCAGCACGAACGCGGTGTGACCGCGGGTGGGGGGGCTGGCTTTTGTCCGCTCTCTGAGCTGTTTGTTGAGGGCAAAATAACTCTGGTTTGGAGCGGTTCTTCCTCGTAATACTGCGTATTGAAGCTGCTGGTATATCGGTGGCGTCGCTCCTTGGGTTTACTACTGTCCAAATAGTTCCTTTAGCAGTGAGGGATTGCCTCTCCTATGTAGCCTGGAAGTATTTCGTAGCTGCCTCTTAAAATAATTTGTTTTGCAAGGCTGTAAGTCAAATCCAAATAATTTTCCATTCTACTGATCATGAGTTGCTGGCAGAGATGAAAGACTTTGTGTTCAGCAGTAAATTTGGGCAGTGCGGTGTGAGGATGTAACTTCCCAGCTCAACTTCTCGTTCCCGAGCAGGCTCAGACGGCACCTACCAGACCCTGCACAAACAGCTTGAAAGAGATAGTGGCGAGTTATCAGGCGGAGTAACATTAACGCAAACTGCTGAAAAGTTGCTATGGTTACAGATAAAGGTAATCCCCATTTCTGTGAAAGTGTCCTTTTGTAAGGGCTGTATTAATCAGTCTGATTGCGGAGGGAATTGTGAGTATATGAACTTGTGGCTCTGTTTTCTTGGCAGCTAGTAGTTATGCGTCTGTGTTTGAGTATCTTTTGAGTTAAGTATTGAATGTGCGTTCRCTTTTATTCATAGTGCTTGATTTAAGCTCCAAAGGATAACGTAGATTACATATACTAGTACCCAGAACATGCTGTATTTGGTGAAAATTGTAGCATATGATTTTTTGGGGTTTTTTTTCTTCTTCTTGCTCAAGAGATATCTAATGTCAAGGGAAAGTCTTTTGAAATGTCCATATCCTTTCTCAAGGACTCGGACTAAAGAGGATGATGCATGACATCTATCATCAGAGTCCTCAGCTGTGTAGCTGTGCTGTGGAAGATTCAATTCCCTGTCTTGATGTGAAAAAACACCAATGTGGCAAGTGCTGTGCGTAATTGAGACCTGTCATGGATGTTGTGTGGCTTTATAAGCCAGAAGATATTATGAAGCAAAGAGAAATTGAAGCTATTGTCTTAATAGTTTATCCTCTAGGCAGAAGGAAGYGGTTGGAATTTGACAAGTGGATGAAGTTTAATTAGTTGTCATGGTAGCTAACTTTTGGGTCGTTTGAGGTAGCTACTTTCCTTCTCTGGGGAGTGTGTCAGCTTCTGTGTCTGCTGCATCTGTGCTGCTGTCCAGGAAACAGCCCTCTCTGACCTGATATTTGTCACATGCACCTTCTTGTTATTTCCAGATTTGATTATTGCGGTGCACTAATACATCTTGGATTGAAAGCGTCAAGAGACTTCCCCAAGTTCGTCAGGATTACTGAAATCTCATCAGTCTGGTATGTTGCGCTCTCTGGCTGTCTGGAATAGCGAGCTGAGTCCAAAGTCTTGCTCCTTATATGCAAAGGCCTCCTTAGTTAGGGATGCTGAAGTTTCTCGGACCTTGGCTTGCCCTCAGCAGCTTCCTTCTTGGGAAGCAATCTACTACCAGGAACTATGGACCTGAATTTCACAGGGGTTGTCTAGGAGACAGTTCTTGGTTGTAGTGCTCCTATGAGGGCAATGAGCACATTCAAGAATCCTTAGTCAACGTAAACTCTGAACTCTTTTTATCTGGCTTATGCTCCCTGCAGACTTCTGAACGTAAAATSAAGTTGGAAAGGAGTGGTTACTAACCAGCTTAGCAGTGACTGCACATTGATATACTGGAGAATGCATAAGGGTGTGAAGATGAATGTCTGTTTCTTCACACTGAGGCACTTCCCTGTCCTTGTGTAGATGTGGATACACATTTGATTAAAAATAGCTACTGCCTTCTCAAATTACTTAAATGGCAAATTTCTGAAATGCCTACTTTATTGTACTTTTAAAATAGTTTATGTATATACACACACAAGTATAACACTTGCACACCAAGTTTGTAAGAACAGTTGTTCTTGCGAACAGGTATTGCAACATCTGGGGGCATAAAAGGAATGAGAAACTAAATACTAACTTTAAAGCTGTCTCTAATAATACAAAACAAGCTGAAACTATAGTTGTTTAAAAATAAACAAATTCAGCACATACTGTAGTGCTGACATAATTGTCAAACAGGGGGTAAAGTCCTTTCTCTAGAGTTCAGCATGTTGTAAGCAGCAGGTCTTTTGCTTTGCCACTTATTAACCTGTATAAAGCCTGTAAGATGTAGTGTATGTTTAAGACTGTGAAAAACAGGTGCAAACTGTGAAGAACGCTCTGTGATTCACACCAATTTGTGCAGAATTGGACAGTGAGTAACCACCTCTTCATCTAATCCCCCAACAACCACCACAAGTAGCTTTTGATTGCTGCTATTCTGGCCTCTATATTGGTGACTTAAAGATGAAGGGCTCTGTTCTTGATCTCTTGAGCTGTCAAGTCCTCCAAACTTACTGTCCTCTGTGTATGTAAGATTACAGGACAAATGGGCTTTTAGCTCTTCTGCGCTTACAATAGTCAAATGAGAGTCAGGTGCTTTCTCTTGTTGTTGTCCTCGGTGCAAAGTTCAGTGGCAGCGAACTGCATCTTTTTAACGTTGCTGGCAGAGCTTCCCTTTTTGGTGTTCTTACAGCTGTGAATTGCTATTTTAGTTTTTCATTACTGTGGGTCTTGTAAGAGTAGGGAAGGCATAACTTGAGCCTGAACCTTAAAATGTGTCAGTATGCTACAAAATGTGTGTACTTTTTGAGGGGGGAGGAAAAAAAAAATGCGTCCTGGGTATGGAAACTGTGCTTATAAATCAGATTTTTTAATTCTTAGTTTTACCAGGTTTTCTTGGGAAAAGCATGGAATTTCGGTGATTTCAGTAACAAATTCATTTGTCTGGATTTTTGATGTCTAAGTACAGATGTGTTCAAGTGAGGTAGAGCCAAGTGCAAATCTAGTTTTGATCCCCACTTTGCAGTTTTTTGGGGCTCTGTGTATGTCTGAGGATAGCAAATTCAGGGGTATTTAGTAAGATAGTTTATTTTTCTTTCTTTCCTTCCTTTTTTAATGAGATTAAGTGAGCAAATCCAGGTGTTCACACTGCTGAAAACTGGAGGATCTGCTTTGCCATTGCCCTCCCATCCTGCTGCTTATCAGAAGCTGCCCAAACTTGTGCGAGAGGAGTGAGCCAGCAGCACATGGAGGGGTCTGATGGGCCCAGCTGGGAGGGCAAAGATGCGGAGACGAGGGGTGAAACTTCTCCCTTGGTTTGATAAGGAGCTGCGAGTCGCCTGTGAAATGGCAGCCTGCATTCAATGTGGGATGTTTTTGGGTTTAAAACAAAACCTTCTTTCATTGCTGTTACACATGGCTACACTTTTGTGGTAGCACTGAGAGCTGGAGGGCAGTATTTTTTCCTTCTGTACAATCCCAAGCAACAAAACTGACTTTGAGGTTGTCATGTCCCCTTCTAGGCAGTCCCCTCGATAAGAATCATGACCTCTGCTGTTCTCCTAGGCCCAAAGTTAACGTGTTCCCCACCGGAGCTTTCAGCATTGCTCAGCGGGTGCTTTACTGGTGTGTTTTGTTTGCTTGAACTGTGTTCTTTGTTTCCATCGCTTGGTGCTGGCTCAAAGCCTCCTGCCAGGGTGGCTTCACAGGTGTCCTCAGGGGACCCACAAACTGCTGGTCCTTCTGTAGCACTGGCTTTTGCCAGAACCTGCATTCAGGTGCAAGGGGTTGCATTTGATCCTTCCCCCCGCTTAGGTAAACGTTATGTAAAACTCCATTCTTGTGCTCCGTATTTGTAACTCAGGACTCCCAGTTGCTGCTGCTTGGTTCTGTTTGGATTTGTGGTGGGATAGATCTCTCCAAAGCAGAAGGTAGCACAAAACATGTCGTGTGGCTCTCTTTGAAGGAGGAATGGAAGGTTACACTTCCTGAAGGGTCATTCTACGCCCTTTGCTGCGTATCGCAGCTCGGGGAAGCACGTCCCTACAGAAGCGCCCCTGATTTTTGTGGGGTATTTGCAGTAAAACCTCAAATGGGGTAAAACTGCAAGCGAAACCAAGTGCCCTGGTCTTGCCCAAGGCACCCTCGGTGYGGGGCGAAAGCCGGGGCCCGGGGCGGGTGTCGGGCGGGCCCGGGGCTCTCGCCCCTTTTCTGCTGACTCACGCTGTGAACTGGGAGCCGGGAGTCGGCGGCCGCGCTGCTCCCTGCCCCGCGGGCCCCGGCGGCTCCCGGGCCCGCGGCCCTTACGTAACGTTGCGCGTCGGGCGCCCTCGCGGCGCGCGGGGCC